AAGGAGTTCCTTTAGGAGCAAAGAAAACCGATCCATTCATTTTAGATAACAAGTCACTAAGTCAGGCACATGCATACTTATTGGGAAATTGTGACGAGGGTCAAGAATATATTAGGTACCTTAATTTGAATATAGTATTCTTTTTGTATAATTAATTTTAACTTATTTTATTTATTATTTTAACAAAAAAAAGTCCATGTTGTGTAGAGAGCATGAGCAAGAAGTTAATAATCAACCACGAAGATCTAAATGGAACAAGGCCAAGAATCATTGTCAAAACTTCTCTCAATGGTTTGAAACTCGTGCTTTGCAAGAGGATGTGCCTAATTTGATAAAACAATTGTCTAGAGGACCAAATTCTGTTGCAAAAAGATATTTTGGGTATCTCATCAATGGATATAGATTCCATGTTAGGCAGCGTGATGCAAGGCGTAAAACACAAAATAGTGGTGTTACACTAGTTGCCTCTACTACAAGCTTTGCAAGCTCAAAGGATAAAAATCTGATTGCTGCAGATTTGACTTATTATGGCAGAATAGTTGATATTGTTGAATTAGACTATTACGGTCATTTTAAGGTTGTTCTATTAAAGTGCGATTGGTATGAGGTTGAAAATGATGCTTATGGCCTTACTTATGTCTATTTTAACAAGAGATGCTCTCAGGAAGAGCCTTTTGTGCTTGGATCTCAAGTACACCAATGCTTCTATGTGCAAGATCCATATGATCAAGATAGACATTATGTTATAAAGACTGTTCCAAGAGACTTGTTTAACATGGGTGATGAAGTTGAAGAGGATCTCCCACAAAGTTATGAAAATGAGCCATCTGAACATTTGATGGGACCATCTATACCAAAAGATAATGGTGAAATACTCTTAACAAGGACTGATGTACCAGAAACAATTATTGATGTGCCTTCGGAGGAATTTGTTACTCAATAACTTGAAGACGAGTATGAAGAGGAGTTTGGAGATGAATCTGTAGATGAGTTTGAAGATGAGTCTGAAAATGAGTATGAAGATGAGTCTGAAAATGAGTATGAAGATGAGTTTGAAGATGAGTCTGAAGAAGAGTTTGAAGATGACGCACCATGAGTTTCATTATTTTTGTGATGACCATATAGTGCTCACTTACTGTTTTTGTAAATTAATTATTTTCTTGGTACAAACACATTAAGATATGTAATATGTGGAATTGAAGATTAGATCGCTACAATGTTTAAGTATTTTGTAGGTTTTTTTCATGCACCCAATTGTTGTTTGGTTAAATAATTTATGTTGGCTTCTTATCTGATTATTATTTTATTGATGAACATGTACTTCTAGCTGAATATTGTTTTATTTTGCTGTTTGTTATTTATATACTTATTTGTTCCTTTTATTATCAGGCAGTAGGTATTAGAGGCAGAACAGTGAGCTCTGTAGTTTGAAGTCGTTTACAGTATATATAGTGCTGGAAGTTCTGGAAACTCAACGGCTGCAATATTATACAGTGCTGGAAATTTTGGAAACTCAGCTGCTGCAATCTGCTATAATATAGTACTGGAAATTCTGAATAGAGTTGAGCTTTTCTATAACTTCTATAGAGTTGGAAATTCTGGAAAGAGTTGGTTTGTGAGTTCTGCAGATGCACAAGACATAGGAAGGACAATGTTTCAAATTAATAAGTTATCCATCTATCAACCTTATATCAAAATTATATTGTTGCTACTTCTTTCACTTAAAGAACCTTTTATTTTGTAGGTTTACTTACCACAGGGAAAGAAATCAAAGAGATTAAATGAGGAACCTGTACTTCTAGCTGAATATTGTTATATTTTGTTGTTTGTTATTTATATACTTATTTGTTTCCTTTTATTATCAGGCAGTAGGCATTAGAGGCAGAACAATGAGCTCTGCAGTTTGAAGTCTTTTCTGGTTTTGTCGCAGTCCCGAGTTCGTCGCTTCGAGAAAGGTACAACTATTTACCTTTAAGTAATTTAAGTAATGAGAAGCTGTCCAGTTGGAGTTGACACTGCAAAATGTTTTTGCTGTAATTCCCCTGAACTTGACACTATTGAACATATTTTCAACTTTGGAAGTTTTGCCAGAAAGGTCTGGGGTTCTTTGTTGTTTCCCTGGGTATCCAAAAGGATTATATTCCTCTTAAATACATAGTAATGAGATGGTGGAACACTGTGCACAGAAATGAGCCTGTTTGGTTGTTTCACAATGCTTTAGTTAATATGATTTGGTTAAGTAATTTATGTTTGGTATAGCTGGTTAGAAGGTAAAGTATTTATATATAAAATTGTGGCTCTAGGTAAAGTATTCTTAATGATTGTACAGGTTATAAGATTAGTTTAGTTGTGGCTCCGGGGATATTGTGTATGTACAGCTTATAGACTCAGTTTACAGTATATGTAGTGCTGGAAGTTCTGGAAACTCAACTGTTGCAATATTATACAGTGCTGGAAATTTTGGAAACTCAGCTGCTGCAATCTGCTATAATATAGTACTGGAAATTCTGAATAGAGTTGAGCTTTTCTATAACTTCTATAGAGTTGGAAATTCTGGAAAAAGTTGGTTTGTGAGTTCTGCAGATGCACAAGACATAGGAAGGACAATGTTTCAAATTAATAAGTTATCCATCTATCAACCTTATATCAAAATTATGTTGCTGCTACTTCTTTCACTTAAAAAACCTTTTATTTTGTAGGTTTACTTACCACAGGGAAAGAAATCAAAGAGATTAAATGAGGAACCTGTACTTCTAGCTGAATATTGTTATATTTTGTTGTTTGTTATTTATATTCTTATTTGTTTCCTTTTATTATCAGGCAGTAGGCATTAGAGGTAGAACAGTGAGCTCTGCAGTTTGAAGTCGTTTCTGGTTTTGTCGCAGTCCTAAGTTCGTCGCTCCGAGAAAGGTACAACTATTTACCTTTAAGTAATTTAAGTAATGAGAAGCTGTCCAGTTTTGGAGTTGACCCTGCAGAATGTTTTTGCTGTAATTCCCCTGAACTTGACACTATTGAACATATTTTCAACTTTGGAAGTTTTGCCAGAAAGGTCTGGGGTTCTTTTCTGTTTCCTGGGTATCCAAAAGGATTATATTCCTCTTAAATACATGGTGATGAGATGGTGGAACACTGTGCACAGAAATGAGCCTGTTTGGTTGTTTCACAATGCTTTAGTTGATATGATTTGGTTAAGTAATTTATGTTTGGTATAGCTGGTTAGAAGGTAAAGTATTTACATATAAAATTGTGGCTCTAGGTAAAGTATTCTGAATGGTTGTACAGGTTATAAGATTAGTTTAGTTGTGGCTCCGGGGATATTGTGTATGTACAGCTTATAGACTCAGTTTCCAGTATATATACTGCTGGAAGTTCTGGAAACTTAGCTGCTGCAATATTATACAGTGCTGGAAATTCTGGAAACTCAGTTGCTGCAATCTGCTATAATACAGTGCTGGAAATTCTGGAAAGAGTTGAGCTTTTCTATAACTTCTATAGAGTTGGAAATTCTGGAAAGAGTTGGTTTGTGGGTTCTGCAGATGCACAAGGCATAGGAAGGACAATGTTTCAAATTAATAAGCTATCCATCTGTCAACCTTATATCAAAATTATATTGCTACTACTTCTTTCACTTCAAAAACCTTTTTATTTTGTAGGTTTACTTACCACAGGAGAAGAAATCAAAGAGATTAAAACAAAGCGAGAAGAATGAATCAATCAGCAATACTAAAGAAAAAGGGTCCGAATCCAAACAAAGCTCAAAGTCCATTCAAGAATCTGGATGTTGATATGCAATACCGATCAAGTACTGAATTGGCCAACAAATTCAAGATTAAGAGAGAACAACTTGCAAATAAACGCAATGATAGAGCTAAGAAAGAGCAGGAACCAATACCACATAAAAGAAAGAATTCTGAGGATTTCACTCCACAACAAGGAAAGAGTAAATTACTTGGGCACAAATCAGTAATTCAATCGTCTTCAAGGGAAGAGCTTAGAACCTCACATATGATTGCAGGGAAAGGACAAACTAAACAGAGGTTATTTCAATCTGGAGAGTCCATTCAAGAGAAAGGAATTAAACTTCCTATGAATAACTCTAGGTTCCAAACATCATTCAAGGAAGGTGTTACTGCTTCAGTACATGTGACTGGAACAATACTAGGTAATGGAGAGGTACAACATGATAATGAGGATCTACTGAACTTCAAACAAGTGAAGAGGAAATCGGTCCGACCATCTACCACTATTGATCTATTTCTGGATAAGCAACAGATACACAATGAACATGATATTCATGATCCTATTATTAATGAACACAACAAAGGATTGGATGATCTTGTGGATCAAGAAGAACTCAGTGGAGATAAATGTGATGTCGAAGAGGAAATTAACATTGATTGTAGTACAAAAGGTATGTCTTAAACCATGTAAGATTTAGTACTCGTTATTAAAGAAATATCTTATTTCTTGTCTGTTACATCAATCTAGAAATATCAAAGTCAAAAAAAGTTCGAGGACAAACAACATGTAAGGATATTCACGCAAGAAATTTGGAAGAAAGAAATGAGGTGGCATTTGATAAAGGACAAGCAGTGGGACCAACTAATAAGATAGTGTCACAATTAAGCAACTTTATAGGAACAATTGCAAGGAATCCTAGATTCATCAGCTTGATGTACACTAGTTGGCATGCGGTGCCAAAGGATACTAAAAAGCGCATGTGGGAATTTATCAATGTAAGAACAATCACTCTTGGGATTGCATATTTTATTTTTTATTTTTACTTACTGAAGCTAAATATATTTTATTTTGCATAGTCCAAATTTCTAATTCTAGTAGAAGGAAAGAAGTGGGTGATGACTGGTCTTCGTGATGCTTGGAGGCGACACAAGCAAAAAATTAAAGAGAAATTTTTTGATAAAAACAGTACCCTTGAGGATATGCTAGCAAAACGTCCTGATGGCATTTCAGATAATTAATTCCGCCAGTTGATCGAGTATTGGAAACACCCAACTGTTCAAGTAAGGCTAAAATAGTGCATTTCTACTCATCGACATATTTTGCATCATATCTATTCTTTTTTTATTTATCATTTCAATTATCTCTTTTTATTTAATAATAGGACACATGCGAGATGAATTCTCAAAACAGGAAAAAACAAAAGTGGAGGCATCGAATGGGACCTATTAATTTTGCAAGAGTATGCGTGGCATTGGTAATACTTAGCTGACATTTCTTCAAAAATCTGAATTTCATTTTTTTGTACTTTATTAGAGCATACTGATGTATTTTTTGTTTTTTTTTTATATAATCTGTAGCGTGCAGCCAAAGACAACAACGAAGAACCATCAAAGCCTGAAATGTTTATTGCAACTCGTACCAAGACGGGAAAGGAAATCCAGGCTGATACCCAAGTTGCAATAGTAAGTTTTTTAAAGAGGATTAGTAGTGAATTTGATTTAGACTTAAAATTTATATATTGTGGGGAGTTTTCCATTGAATTTTATCACGTATGTCTTCTTCTTCTTCTTCTTCTTTTTATTCTTCTTCTCTTTGTCGATGTCGCTGAATTGTTTGCTAGGAAAAGTTGTCAGATTTTTTTAGTTCTTGATCGCTATCATAGGACTGGAAATGAAATAGTACTTACAATTCATTATGGATGCCAATTTTATTCAACAGGCTGAACTTCAAAATCGCCAAAATTCTGGGGAAACAACTGATGATGCATTTAGGGCAGTGTTTGGAAAGGAGCAGCCTGGTCGACTTAGGTGCTATGGTAGATCAGTGACAACAAGTTCTTTGAAGAAAGATGAGGAAATTAACAATCTAAAACAAAAGCATGCCAATGAAATCACTTCTCTAAAGGAAGAATTGAGAGAAGAAATGCGACATTTATTCACTCAATTGCTGCAAAACAACCCTGGATTGAATTTTCAAGATATACCAGGGTGTGTTGGATCTAACATTGCTTCACCTATTGATGCAAGTAGCGCACAAGCTGTAAGAGGCACAAATCTTCCACATTCTTCAGGGTCAGCTCATGATTTGGTTCTTCAAAAGGTATTTTGTATTTTACATTTTATGTTAATAGTCTACATATTGTTTTTCTTCTAGTTGAGCTGGTGTTCTTGGTAAATAAATTCTGAACTTATTTTACTATCTTGAATCTTTGAAAGTTTACTTTGTTTTTGTTACTCATTGTCTCCTTTAAGCTTCTATACCAATTTTTTTTATATATTTTTAGTTGTATGAGTGTTGTATTGTGTTGAAGGAGGACTCTACTGATTTTGGGTTGTAGTTGTGTACTTTTATCCCCTGTTGTTTTACTTCTTTGTATTGTGATGGTTGTTGTGAGAGATGGTTTTAGTTTTCATTGCTTAAACTGATTCTCATAGCTAAAGCTGTCCCTTTTAGATTTCTTCGAAGGTTAGAGACTTTGTTGTATTTTTGTGAGTGAGTTTGTTGTCACTTGTGCTAGTTAAACTCTGTTCTGATGTGGTTTGAGCTGTCATCCTGTTGCTGCTGGTTCTTGTTTCTAGGAATCTGTCTTTCCTGTACTTTGGAATGTTGTATCTCAGCCTCTTTTTGTTGTCTTCTTTTAATTGCTGCTCTCTTTTTCTTGCTTGGTTTACCTTTTGATTTTATATAAAAACTATGAATCCTTCTAATCCACATCTTGTCCTGCTTGTGAGTAAGGTCCCAGAAAGTCTTAGCAATTGCAGCTTTGTTCCATAAATGCAAATTTGTAATATTCAGTCCACCTGCAGATTTTGGAGTACATATTTTCTCCCAAGCAACTAGAGCTTTTTTGTTTATATGATTTGTATCTGTCCACACATAGCTCCTACAATGAGCCTCAATAAGTTTCACTACTTTGCTAGGTATTAGAAACAATTGTGCCCAATATGACTGTACACCAAACAAAACTGTTTGAACCAGCTGTACTGTCCCTGCATATGATAGTTTCTTTGTTGTCCAAGATGATATTCTACTAACGAACTTCTCAATTAGCTATCCTAAATCAAAGAAATAGGAATATTGTGTTACCTCCAAATACTCAGAGGCTCCTGCAGGTTCCCATGCTGCTAAACCACCATTTTTACTCTACGATTTTATTTAAAATGGATCTTATTATAACTTTAAGATATAGGTTCTCTTGAATTTTTTGCAAAAGCAGAAAATAACTTAAGATTAAATGATTTATGACCTTGACTTGTAGCATTAACCTGAAACCTGTCTGGAACTTGCTGTTTATTCAGAATGTGATGCTGAGGGGGCTAGTAGGGGATCTATGGTCTAGACTATGATCAATGTGGGTGTTCTCATGCCCAACATGCTGTCAGTGGTTGACTTATTATTAATTTGTGTCTCCATTGTATCCTTATCTTTTGAATTTTGATTTTCAGCTCCTTCTTGATTGTTTGGTTGATCCTGCATAGAAAGATCAATGAAATTATTAGATGTAGGGAGTGCAGAGTTAGTAGTTATTTCAGCTCCTTCTTGAGTCTGCCATTCTTCATCAGTTGGCTTGTTGTTATTTCCTTTTTTTTTTGTGCTACTGGTATTGTGAACTGCTGTTTCCATCCTCTCTATTTGTGTATTGCATTTGCAGGTTTCTGGAATCTTGTTTGCCTTGTTCCCCTTTGTTTTTGTTCTTCCTAGCAGCCTCCAACTCTTTTCTTTTTTTAAATTCCTCATCTCTTTGCTTAATATCAAAGTGTGAATGTGAGAGCTAGTCTCTTGAGCTCTTTCTTGATTAATGAAATGGGCAGCTCCCAGTTCCTGCCTAATACAGACATGTAACAAGTGTTCTTTGTGTTTACAATACATGCAGTAATCCAGAATTCATGTGTTGATAAATGTTCTATATGATTTGCATATATATATTGATTTGGATTGGTTGGCTTACAGTGAATACTCTCCAATTATGCACTTCCACATTTATTTCACTAACTTATAATTTTATTTTGAATTTGCAGGAAAATGCCGGTAATTGAATTTGAATTGCATGTGGCCAAAAGTAAATTCGGTCTATTGTAGTGAACGATGAAGAGTTTTTGTACTATTGTCATATATGTTTGAATGCATTTGATTTTTTGGAATTTATCGATAATAGAGATCTTTAAGCAATCACTTTCTAAGTATTGGTTGTACAAGACATGTTTCTCGAAGTTTATTTGAAATATATAGCTTCGATTTAATTATTAGCTAATTTTGTGCTTTAGGTCACTTGTATATTTAATTATGTGATTATATATTAAATATATGCAAATAAAAATTATTATTATTAAAAATAAAAAATTGTGGCTACAAAATTCTACACAACATTGCCACACTTCAAAAGTGTTGTTGTAGGACGTCCAATGTTATCTTGTACTCTAGATGAGATATAAAGTTACACTTTATAAGTGTTGCTCTAGATGAGAGATAAAGTTACACTTTATAAGTGTTGCTCTTGATGAGATATAAAAGGCATCGCTTTTTAAGTGTGACCAATAACAAAGAAAAGGCAACGCTTTTAAGTGTAGTATAATAAAAAAATAGGTGTCGCTAATTCATCACAACAAAGCGTGCCCTTATACCTCTTTGGCTACGCTTTATAAGTGTAGCCAAAGATGGCGACATTTAAAAAGTGTTGCCTAATGTCAAAGGTTACGCTTCATTAGCCACCCCCTAAAAAGTGTTGCTTAAAGTCCAAAAGTGTAGCCTTTTGTCAAAGGCCACACTTTTTGCTAGTTTAGGCTACACTTTACTGGGGTGGCCATAGGCCTAAAATGGTGTAGTGATTTGGTGTCTAATTGTTGCTGGCCTGATATAGTGGAAATGCTAGGAAGCCACAAACCAAAACTATATTATCGTAGAGTGATTTGGAATCCCCAAAACATTGGTAAGTTGAAGATTAATACGGATGGATCATCGAATGGTAACTTGGGCTTAAGTTTCTACAACTTTTGTTTAAGGAATTCACAAGGGGACCTAGTCTATGCAAATGATGGGGGACTTGATTTTACCACAAACACAGAGGCTGAATCAGTAGCAATCTATAAGACTGTGGAGTTTTGTTGGAGGAATGAGCTAAGAGATGTCACGATAGAAACAGACTTTTTAAGTCTCGTGAAGATGCTAAGAGGGGATTGGAAGATACCATAGGAATTGGTGGAGAAGGGGGAAATAATCAGAAAGAGAATGCACCAAATAAATGCAAGCATCATTCATACCTTTAGAGAGGCAAATTATGTGGCAGATCTGTTAGCAAAAGAGGTAGTAGATTCACAGCAGACGAAGGAACACTAACGAGAAAAAAGACTGGAGGAGCAAAGCGAACGGATACAAGAGAAGAAGGTAGTCATACCAGGTAACATTGAAGATGATGCCACAAGATGAACTTAGGATGGATTTTGAAGCTGACATAGTGAAGGAGATAAAACAGCAGATAAATCCTCAGACAGCAAATCGACTTCTAAGGGCAATAGAGGAGGAGAAGAGGAAGACTGAGTACTCTCACTCTACTCATAGAGATAGATAAAATTTAGGAAACCTAATGTTTTGCTTTGTTTTTTGGGCCCTGGGCTTTGTTTTTCTAAATTCTTTCATTTTTGGTTATTAATAAAATAGGTCTATGGACCAAAAATTTCAATTAAAAAAAATAATAACCACAATTAGCAAATTCATTTATGACGTGTTGATATTCTATTGGTTGGCCTAATAATTAATTAACTAATTAAAAAAAATCAAATATCCACCCAAAAGCCCCACCCGTAATCCAGATCTTTTAACCCAATCTTCATCCACAAACCTTTAAACCTAAAAAAAACTTATGCCCATCTTCAACAACAAGAGCTCCGCCATGGTCGGCGGTTCGAGAGAGCCCGGCACACCACTGGCAGCAAACCCTCTAGCATCCATCACCTCTTCCAGAACCGCTGACTCTTGTTGAGCTAAGCGATGAGTTTTTTCGCCGACAGAAGCTACGACGGGAGGAAAGGACGCCATGGCAATGATAGCCTCAGTAGGATTCTGGGCTGCATCAAGGTTTTTAATTTGATTTACCAGATCAGAATAGATAGCAAACATATGCGAATCTAGTGAAATTTCAAATTATTTTTTTAAGAAGTAGATCCTTCATTCAACATGTTAATCTAAGACTTGATATGATTTTTTTTCTCACAGATATTAATTTTACTTTATATACTTTGTATTCATAAAAATATACTTTGTATTCATTTTCCGAGTTTGTGTGACTCAAGAATAAGGTCATTGCAATTTTAAGATTCGATATAAAATAGATTTTTCAGATATTAATTTTAGGTGGCTCAAATTGAGTACTTTTTATTTCTATTACAATTAGTTCACTTGTAATAACGGGACATATTGTTATAATTACTCACTCATTTATACAATAAAAAACTACAGAATATAGGTTTGCAACTATACTATCAATTTATAGCAAAAGATCAGTCTATATATAGTTAGCGTACTATACAAATCGATTAACGTAACCAGTATACACACGATAGTACATAAAAATGACTTACTACATTGATGATGTGAAGAGTCAATTATAATTTTGAATCTACTTAAATATCTTTTGGAATCCACTATCATCTTAGACCGTGTTATCACTGAATTACACTAGACTGTAGAATGTAACGGACCGTCATCAAACTTTTCATTTTGATTTGCCTTTTTTCAAATTCTAAATAGGAGGAATCATTCTTCTCAATTAGATCCTTGATGTCCAAATGGCAACTCTAAATCCTCTAATTCACCTAACAACTGAATTGCAATTGTTGGTAGAATATTCAGGCTCCAACAATTGAATTGTAGTTGTTGGTATAATATCTAAGCTCCCGAATAGGAAATGATGAATCCAATTTTGTTGTTCAATAAATTTATGACCCTATTTATTTTTATTTTTGCTTTATATTTACTAGTATACGTGCCCGCGCATTGCGCGGTTAGTTGATAAATGTAATCATAAATATTAATTGATTGAGAATTTAAAATTTTAACTTATTATAAGATAATATTATAAGATTTATTTGAGAATGTTAACATTTAGCATTTTAATGTGTTATAATAGAACATTTATATAAATAAATCAATATATAAACTTAGTTCATTGTCTAAATTTGACAATAATTATCTTTTATCATTATTTAATTTATTTATTTATTAAAATTATTTAAAAGGATAAATACTACCACCCTATCCATACTATCCTCTTGTTAGAATAATAAAGATATAAGAAAATTTAATAGTTAAATTTAAATAAAATAGAACTAAGAAAAGTCCTAT